AAAAATGTGGTTAAAATGATGCCTTTCTACGACTAATTAGCATATTCAATTACTATTTGTTTTCTTAAATAGTCAAGCATGGCTGTATCACAGTAAAAAACACACTGTCTTCATCATTTGTAATGAGGACTTTCTAAAATAAAACAAGTATGAAATAGTGCATTGCAACATTGTAACAGAAAAAATGTCACACTCTTGCTAACAAATGATCAATGGAAGTGCTTCTCATCAAATATTCACCATCCAATACCCTTTTTTTTGTCAGTTGTCACGAAAGGGTTGTAACTGATATGTTACCATGGTGATTCACTAATAAACAGTATTTCTTAAATTCCCTTGCGCAAAACATACATATACGGATCTGAAGTGCCTTATAGGGACAGAAATTTCTTCTTTCATGGTATGTCATTTGCTTCGGATCATTGCAAACTATTGGGACTCTTTGAAAGTAGGACACGTCATTGTAATTGCTGTCATTCCTTGTCACCTTACCGTTCTCCTGGGTGATGGCTAATTACCAAAAAACGAATCCCCGGTGCTGCGGTCTATGGTCGTCATGCTACCTTGCTTACACTAGTGGGTTCATATTCATATTAAATTTCCATGAAACATCAACACCTTATAACAAGTATTGATAATTATTACCTCTGGAATGCAACGTGAATATAAATGAACTGTTTAATATTCTACAATCGTACGATATGACACATTTCATAAATGTTAGCTCATATATGCTTTAACTGGCAATTTTACCCCGCCTCATTACCCATCAAAACAAGATTCTCATCTTTTAAACTATTCCAGATATTATCCATTCATCTCCGTCTCCAAAAGGAATAATTGTTGGTTGTCCTAAATGTCTGTGTAAATGAGTCTTGTCAATTCGTTGAGTCTTGTGTGTCTATTTTCATTATATGCTTCGAAAGCAATACTTCAATATTCAAATTGATTTCTAAAGTTTGTGCATTTATTTTCTCTTTACTGTATTTTCATTCTGACTTGACAGTAAAAGGCGATGCTTAGTAATCTTCTCACACAAATTGACTTTTTATCATATTTCTCTTCCATTTGAGCACCATCATTTTTAGTGTAGTAGTAATTTGGTGTAACATTGTGCAATTTTTATGTAATTTTCTCCGTTAATTTCAACCAAATGGACATATTTTCTCAACGTTGATCAAAATTTACAAAAAAAAAATTGTGGAAAAACGTGTGGGTTTATATTGTAAATAATTAAAGTTGATTCTAAGGGTTAAGCCGGTGATATTAGAAAGATGCAGATGGTGCAGCGATCATTTATTATTAAATTATCCACAGTTGTTATAGAGATATTTGTTAGTTTTAAACAATTTTTAAAATTTGAAATCTTTAGAGTGAAAATTTCTCTTGGGAGACTTGTGAAATTTAGTTAGAGAATGCTCTCTAAATATGAAATCATAAAAATATGACAGTGAACGGTTATACAAGCACAGTATGTGCAATTAATGTACCCGGTAGTTTAACTTTGATAAGATAATGATCTAGATTCTGTCACTTCATCAAATGATGTTAAAAGAGTAGAGGTGATGGAATAGACATGCATGTACACGTACTAGCAGCGTTGTTCGTCTTCCCCTATGCATGTACATGTGACCGGATTCCTGTAAGGGTTTATCACTTACAATGCTGCACCCTATAGGGGATTTTCTACTATAAGAATCACACACAACTCAAATCTAAAGTTCAGAAACCCTCACACTTGCAGTATGTATGACCTGTCAAGTAAATCGGCATAAATATTGCAGTGTGAATGTAGTGTACTTAAAAGTCTTGCTGACTTATGCATCTACTGTGGAATACTTTATTTTCGCTGGAATTAATTTTTGCAGAAAAGGCTTTTTGGGCGTTCTGTATGGAATTTATTTTCACTGATTTTTGATGAGTTTAATGTGAAATATAGGAAAAAAAGTATATTCGCTGGATTTTATTTTCACGGAATCACCCTTTCAGCAAAAATAGCAAAAATAAATTCCAAGCGAAAATAAAGTATTCTACAGTATTTGAGATTCCTGCTTTCATTGGAGCAAATAAAGTACCTAACATTTCTGTTTTGGGTGGCAACTATTTAAAACTTTTTATTGGGTTTAAGAACCAGACAGATTCTGGTACCGGTAAATGTATATGAAAGCTTTTCAGGAACTTAGTGCTGATGTATTGAATGTATCCATTCCTACGTAGTTGGCTGCCATTCCAAAAAATAATCAGATTTTCTTAGTTTTCTTTTATGCTGTTATTTATATATTTCACACAAAACATGGGTTAAATATTCATGAAAATGGTCCTTTTTGAGCCGTGTTTAATTTATCACTATGGTATAAAGGTTTATCATATTTTGTTCAGATACATATGGTTTAAAAAGACATATGTAACTACATATATAAGATGGGGTTTATATAGTTGTCATCTATAATTAGAAATGTCTGATGAAAATATTTATTTTTTTATGAAAAAAACACTTAAACCACTGTACTTTGTCGGGCTAGTTTTTCTCCAAACAAATATCACGAACTGAGCAAAAAAAGTGAAATTATTTATTACGCCAGATGCCTGCAAACTACCTTAACAATATACCGGTAATCTGCAATTGTCACTAGTCAAAATATGATATAAAATTGATGTTACACATCTCATTTTAACTGTCTATCAAATCATGAAAGCACTTGTCATTATCAGCCTACAGACTTACTTCACCAGTTTTGTTTTTTAATGAGTTTGAGAGATAAATTTTCACTAGTAATTTATTGATATTTGATTAGCTTATTAAAAATTAACAACATCTGCATAATGGATGCACATTAAGTTGATTAAATGTAGTGAACCAAGCTGCTGCTGAATTTGAAATACATGTGTATGCAAGGTGATTACGTTTCTTGCTTTGTATTTTTTTTTTCTAGGATAATTCAGTCTTATGTTTATTGAAGTTTGATTAATTCATATTTTATGTTTAAAAAATACAGATGAAAGCAACGCAAATTGTTTGAGATTAGGTGTCTGCCTATGGTTAGGCATCTCTCCATGGTTGGGTATAATCTTCCTGCAGTTAGACGCTGATTTACACATGTCTTCAAGCCTGTTGTTTTGTAAACAATATGTTATTCTCTCATTGGTTGTAGAATTCAATGTGATAAAACTTATGATATTTGTACTGATTTAATCAACTAATTTGTTAGCCCCTTCTTTATTTTCAATGTTGATTAATACAAGTACCCAATTACCTGCACATCATTCCATTGTATGAGAACCCATCCATCTTTGGGGCAAACTGATTCACCACAGAATGGTATCCTTCAAGTTCTGAAGTCTGTTGTAATGTTGACAACTTAGGAATATCCTTCTTCATTTGTCGAGAATTGAGGAGTGTTATCAATTTCTCTAAGGGTTTAGTTCCTGGAAATATATAAATATATTTAATATTATATATTTAATATATATGTAATATTTAATCATTATAATAACAATATACCACCCTAGCCAAAGTGTGATTAAAATGTGAATAAGAGAGAAATACCTGGCTTTAACCATCACTTTCTTCTTTCTTGTCTTGTCAAATCTTCTTGTTCACACCTTGGAAAAAAAGTTCAATGTTCCTCATGAATATTTTGGATATGATTTCCAACAGATGTCCATCATCAAATCACCATTTCCATCAGGTGTTGAAGCAGCAGTCCAATAAAGATGATTTGTGACGCTCCTGATCCAGTTTTGTATCACACCACACTCTTTCTCTTTTGAAAGAGCTAGCATTTTTTTCTGTAGACCTTAAGGAAAAAATCCTTTCATTAGTAATATGTGTCGCGGTTTTAGTTAATTTGCTGGTCGTGTTATAAAATTGCATTTGGATTGCTCTGAATATTGAATACTGGTATTATCAATATCACTGATGCTGGATATAACTAAATTAAATCAAAAATATCCTACAAGGATTCCAAATTTCATCTAAAATAATCTGTTCTACCAAGCAATTTTGTATATCGTA